AAAAGGCAATGAAAATCGCAGTCAAAGTACACCAAAGTCCGCTGATTCACCCAGTACAAGAATTATGCTTCTAGTCCACCTAGTTTTTGAGTTACACAACGTTTTGTAACTCCAAAAAACGGCGTTTTTCGCCTCTCACCGCGATCTAATTCTGACTCCTCATCACCCTGTTTTTCAAAATGGCTGCTCTCTTTCCCAGTGGCGCAGTTGGTAATGACACGGGTCTGCAAGCCAAAGATCGTGGGTTCGATTCCACCTTGGTCAACATGTTTTTTTCCCTACAAATTAATACACTGTCACAGACCAGTAATTCATATTCATCATTTATTACAATTCTGCAAACTTTTATGATTTTACCAGCTTTTCTAATATGGACCTCACATTCTTGTTAACACTCCATGGCACAAATACTCTTCCCTTTAGGCTATTTCTCCCATTTTAAAGTATTACTCCTCCATAATTGTAATTCTGTTAAATCAAAGTACTTTTACTACATCTTAGTACTTCTGCTCAATCATAGTATTTCTGCTAAATCATAGTATTTCTGCTACTTTTTGGTACTTGTGCTAAATACAGTATTTCTGCTAAATCATACTATTTCTACTATATTATATTTTTCTTTCTAAATATAGCATTTCTGCTATATAATTGTATTTCTGCCAAGTATTATGTTTCCTCTAAGATATTGCAGTTCTGCTAAGTTATTCCATTTTAGCAAAGTTCTTTTGCTTCTGAAAAGCTTTTACAATTTCTGCAACTTTTCAGCTTTTTCAGCTGGTTTTTGCATGCAGCTTCAGCTTTAAGCATCCACACTGCATTTTCGCAGGAAATGCAAATTTTTCTAGTTATTATTATTATTATTATTATTATTATTACTATCAGGCCAAACCCCAAAGGAGTTTTGCACTTAACAGACCGTTACAGGACCTTTGAAGGTGTCTTGAGGAATTGGACAACACATCTTTATGGAGCGAGGCAAGGCCAGCATATCTAACAGACTGCAAACTTAACGCTGTTCTTTGTCTTGTTGCTTCTTTGGGAGGTTTTGCTAT